GCAGCTCACACACACACTCGAAGGACCTTGCCTCACCCTCTGTTCACAGAAACAAACACTTCTCTAGCAGCTGCCCAGTAGCACAGGGAGCAAGAAAACACTCAAGGGCATGTCTGAGTGAATACGTTGTGAGGGGTGTGGGAGGAGGAGGAGTCTGAGACAGCCTACACTCTTCCTTTCTCTTTACTGTCCATGTTGGATGGGCTTCTCCTTTCTGCATCTATCTAGTCAGAGGAGCTGATGGGAACCATTTGAAGACAGAATCTGCCAAGCGTCCTTCAGCCCCTCCTACAGGAAGCCCTCCTAGATTATCCCCAAGACCCTCTTACCCTTGTGGCCCTTGGACAGTCAGGTTTGGTCTTTGAAGGCCACATGTGGCTCAGGAAGCTTCTTGAGAGCAGGGTCATGCCTGACTCAACTGTACTCAGGCCCAGAGTACTCACTGAGGTACATGATGGAGCTCAGTCAACATGTTGGATTTAAACCTTCTCAAGTTCTGTGTGTGTGACACGTAAGTCGAGGGGAGCTCTCTTTCTCTATGTGAACCCCTCATGAATGAGGAACCATCTCCTATTTATTTCTGTTGCTCTTTCTTTCCCAATTGGCCCTGAGCAGCCAGGCCACAACTCCATGTGCTGTAGGCACTCAGTAAGTGCTTTCTTGAGACAATAGGGCATTGAGGTTCACCAGAGTCGGCCTGTCTCGATTCAATTGGCTTGATTAGCTGTGTGACTGTGGGCAAGTCATTGTACCTCTCTGGGCCTCAGTTCTCTACCTAAATCCTACAGCTATTGTGAGCATAACGCAATACATGAAAAATGCTTAAGAGATAGTCAGCTCTCATCATTGTGACTGGTGGACTCCCACGGATCTTTTGGTGAGTAAGTAGAAGAAAATTCTTTAGTGAGATTAGAAGGGTAACTGAGCGGGCTGAAAAATCCCAAACCCAAGTCTGAGGGTTCAGGTTCCGCACCAGGCCCGGGTATACTCCGAGTGGCAGCGAGGGGGCTGGGAAGCAGGGGACCCTTGTTCCTTACATGGTCCTCAGGATGGAGCTGGTGGGCCTGAGCAGGAGCACCTCCGGCATGGTCCCGGAGGGGTGGCAGCACCCTGTGAGCTCACCCAGGAGAAAGTCTCAGAGAACG